TATGGAGGGGTACAGAACAGATCATTGACAGAGGCTATCTTTGGATTGGGAGTTGTGGACAATTTTTACTGTCTTTGTATATATTGGGAGTCTAAACACTTTCGCACAGTTAACATGTACCATTTTGGTAAGCAGTTATTAAGTAAAAAACTAAATTCAAAACACTGTGGGGAATGTGAAATATGGAAACTGCCTCTTCCCACTCAAGGAACATTTCTTAGTGCTACAGGCAGCTCCTGTTTATGGCTCCCATGTAATTTACCACCGTATTGTTTAGGAAATACAATAAGATGAGAAGAATGGAATCTTACAAAGACTATATATATATATATATATATATATATATATATATATAAACCTGGAAAAAATACACTACTTAATTTTTTAATACAAAAAAGTTCTTTTCTTGAATGATCTGATTTATACTTATGCAAAATTTGTCGTATGAAAGTTAAGTAATTCTCTCATTGGGGTGCATAAGTTAGTGCATAGTCAAAGTGGTATTTTATTTCTTGTATTCTAAAAACTTAAAGACTAAAATTTCTACTTATTTGTAATTTCTATTTATCTTTCCTAAGATAAAATATAACCCTACTCCGATTTTCTTTTCATCATGGTTTTTTAATCTACAAGGAACGTTCTCTTTTGTGCAAAATAATTTTATGGGTTTTATTTAGCAACATGTTCATTGCTTCCTCTGATAGAAATTCAGTGTGAGAAAGGATTTTTGAGGTAATCTGACATCCTCCCCTTGACTGAGAAGAGGGCTAAGGCCCACAGAGGCTCAATTACGCACAGCTGAAAAACACGAAAGCCAAGCTAAAAATAACCCAGGCCAGGGTAGTTTATTGCTGCTTTAGTCTCATTTTCATTTCAATTATATACTCATAAACTAGAAGGGGAGTTCTTTAGTGTTAAAAAGTTGTATAACTTAGGAGAAGTGTTCAATTTAGTGCCTGTCAGGACGTGCCGGTAATCTCACCAACGTGATGTTACAGCGAGGACACAGGGCCGTGTGGCTGCGGTACGTCTGCACAATCTTGACCGTTATTCTCACAGATTGGGCACAACACACATGAACCTAAATATCTTATGTACAGACTCACTTTTAGATAGCACTAGTATTAAATGTCACTTTTTAAATTTCCAAAAGAATCAGACTCTTACAGCTTAGGTTTAAAAGTAAGAAAGTAACTTAGAATTTTGGACTTTGCTTCCAAAAGGCAGACAGGATCCAACTGAACCAGGGAGGTTCAGAATGGATATCCTTCCTGGTTCAGTAGGGTCCTGAGGCTCTGTCTGAATTACATTTTTAGGTCACGAGGATAACCTTCAGTGCCCTTGATCTGCCAAACTGTAAGCTCCTTGAGGGTAAGAGCACTTTCTTATTTTTCTTAGTTGCCCCAGGGACCACCAGAGCTCCTAGTGTAGAGCCAGTTTTCAGCAAATTATATAAAAGGTGATGGTAAGAGCAGATGGGAAGGGTCTCAGGAGATTAGGAGTGGCTGTACGCAATGCTCTGTGAGACAGTAGCTTTATGCTGAACCTGAAATGTTCCAGATATATACATATAGAAATAACTTGTGGTTATTTGACAATAAATTTATTACTTTATAAAGTTATTGCTTTGGTTATTATTGGTTATTTACTTAATAGAAAAGTAATGAAAATAATAAATAATTTTGAATTTCCCAAAGGCTCCTGGGCTTTACATCTGAGAAAGAAGTTTCTACACGGGGACTTGGGTTTGTCAATATGAAAGAGAATACTGTTGGAATGAAATAAAGTGAAGTGCAATATAAAATTCTATTTCATGCTCTTCATATTTCTAAGGGAAAGAAGGCGAGGGGGAAATAAAAACTAAGGTACAAACTCCCGAAATGACTCCCCAGCTCCATTTCTAGCGATAGGTCAAAAATTGAACCTACAAGAGCTTCAAGATTTCTTATGAGAAACTGTAGTAAGAAAAATACAATGACTCATCTCATAATAATGCCCTTTCTTCCCAAAGTACACATCACAATTCCCACATCCCTGGCACAAGAGTACGCGGTGCGGAGCTATTGCAACATGAGGTAGCTCCCTGCACCAACGTCCCTCAGTGGACAGCGGGGAACAGACCTCCCTGGAGCTGCGGGGGTCAGGGGGCAGCATGGCTGTGCTCATTCTGCACCCGTCCCTCCAAAGAGGGGGATCACTCCCTTTGTACTGCTTCGTCTGCAACAGCGGTTCTTTTGTGCAGCCGCCTTTTTAAGAATGAGGAGCGATGTGCAGCTGGCTTCCTGTGCACAGCAGTTCTGAATAGGCTCCCCCAGATTTCCTCACCAACTGTCACTTAGACACCGAGGACCAAAAAGGATAGAAGAAAAGACGAAGGAAAGGGAATCTACGACTCAAGGCTACGGCATGAGTAAGGCGCGCAGGCTGCTGCTCGGTACTGGCTCACGCCTTCTGTGGCTGGGAAGAGAGAGTTCAGTAAGCAGTTACAGAAAAGTAACTGAAGCTTATTGCCAAAGAAGTATCTCCAATTAGGCTCCTTAGGAAGCCAATCCCCCAGGCCTCGCCCAGTCAGATGTTCCTTGAGAATAACTACCAAGAGAAAATGAGGTGGATCCTGCCCTGTGGCAAACAGCAATGTAAACTGATAAAAGATTTCAAAGCTCTATAGAAAATGGAAGTTGAGAGAATACTCGCAGGAGAGAGAGAGCAGGGCATCACTAGCTTTGGGCATCTGAACTATATAAGGGAGTAGGCATGCCACCTCTGCGCAGAAGGCAATTCTGGGAGGGAAGGGCTATTTATTGACCCTTAAATAGCGGGGACAGGAGGGCTCTCAGAGGTCAAATATCAATGAAGACAGGGCTCCAAGACAAGTGCGGTGGAAGGACTGCTTTGTGGTTGGTTTGATGGGCCATCTGTGGGAGAGAGGCCCTCCGCTCGACCTGGACATTTTATTGTTTGTAGGGACAAGCTTGAAAGGTGGTAGACTGGAGGTCTGTGAGGAGGGAGAACGTACAGGTGAGCAGGCCAAGCACAGGTGCACAGGGCCTGTGTCCAGGGATGGAGCTGCATCAGGCTTAGTTGACTTGTGTGGGTGTGGATGGGAAAGTGTGTGAAGGCACGGTCAGAGGTGGGAAGAAAGGGCAGCTAAAGAGACAGAGCCTAACCACATCTAAGAGAATTACTCAAAACAGTGGAAGATGTGGAAGATCCTCATGATGTCAATGGCACATTTCTTATAAGCTAACTTGGTGGACTCTGATAGTATTATCACTAGATGTCAAAACATTCTGAAGATAAATAAGAACTGTACTGGCTCAGGTAAAAGACTCAGACTAGTCAACTTGTAAGAATGAAAATTCTTAACATTTAAGAAGTCCTTAAGACAGTGGTTCTCAACCTTGGCTGCACATTAGAATCACTGGGGAATCTTTTTAAAATCCTGATTTCTGGGCCTCGTCCTCTGGAAATTCTGTTTCTTTGTTACTAATGTTGTGGCCCCACCCCATAACAAAGAAACAGAATTTCTGGAGGACGAGGCCCAGAAATCAGGATTTTAAAAAGATTCCCAGGTGATTCTAATGCGCAGCCAAGGTTGAGAACCACTGCCTTAAGTTTACACGACTTAAATGACAGCCGCTGTAGAAAACTTACATCTGTATAAATATCAGTGCCCCTAAGGAAGATAGTATTTCAGTTGTACTGAGATGTTTTAATTCAACCTTTATAATTTAAGTATCAAAATCACATATCATACAAGATCTCATTTATTCTGTATCCTATCTGAAAGCAATGATACTTTCTAGTACACTTAACTGTTTTCTTAAACCACAGGTCAATTTCTTCATTGCTTGGAGTTAGTTAAGTTATATTATAATATACTTGTTTGCCAATAGCATTACTATTTTAGCATTTATTAATTTACTAAGAAATTAAAATTCTAAAAATATTTCAAAGAATAAAATTTTAATACTTTTCACCAAATTTGCTTTATTTAATTAATTTAATATGTATACTTAGAGTTTTATTGATATATGAAGAAATTAGGGTCATGTTGGCTTTTCTGATGGGCATATTTGCTCCAAATGAAGGCATCTACATTTAAATATGAGTTCTCTGCCCTTTACTTTTTCTGGATTTCCATTTACCCTTATTGCCTCTAAAACACTCTCCCTAAGTATTTATTTAAGATGAGATAAGAGGTTGTTTTTAGACCACATGGGCCAAATTTCAAATGGATTAGAAATAAACATAACAGGTAAATTAATATTCCTATAAATTATTTTAGAAGCATAATCATGTCATATACTTCATACCCAGGTTTAATGTCTGCTAGACTTTTTTTCATCTCTTTGTTATAGTTTTATGGCATACTAGTATGTCCAAAAATATGAAAAAGTTTGTATAGAAGTAAGTTCAGATAGACTGGATGTACACACACAAGGAGACACTCTCCAGTGCAATATTACCAGCATTTTCTGAATCTACTTGTCTGAATAGAGAGCTCCAATGAAAGAGTAACAGGATGTGATGGAGCTTAAGACTTAGCATGAGAAAAGAGAAAGAAAATGAACCCTATCAGCTAAGAAATAACACACTGGGGAAAAGTACTGGTTCTCATGAAAATGTCAGTGATTCACCATGGAATAAAATTCAAAAGCCACTGACCCCAATGAAAGCTTCCAGTGGAAACATGTGGATTTTGCTTCATTTCATTTAAAGACTTTGTTTTATTTCATTTAAATACTATCCTAAGCACCATCACAGTTTTTATAAAATGTTGCTTTCTCATTTAAAATTGATATGGAAAAAATACTGCTGATCAAATTAAATTTTTAAGCGGTCTTAATAATATCATGCACACAGGGAGGACATATTGAGCACTTAATGTTATGCCCCTTAAAACATACATTAAGTAATCAATAGCCAAATGACAACAAGAAAAAATTCTTTAATTCAATATTTAAGCAGATTTGCTTATAGAATTTTTTCATACATACCAATTCCTCATTCTGCCTTGAAAGATCACAACTGAATGCAAGCTGACTTACACAGACCACAAATCTGTCAGGAAATACACGAAGTTCTGTATAAAATGAAGAAAACCAAATTACTAAAGGCATCAAAAACCTATAAACACAGAAATAGGTGATCCCAGATTTGTAAGTTACAGCAATAAGCATATATGTATGAGTCACAGGTGTCCCCTCCCCACCCTTCTATGTTTGCCATCAGTAGGGTGGGGCAAGCACAAAGCTCTAGGGCAGTGGTTCTCAACCTTGGCTGCGCATTAGAATCACCTGGGAATCTTTTTAAAATCCTGATTTCTGGGCCTCATCCTCCAGAAATTCTGTTTCTTTGTTACTAATGTTGTGGCCCCACCCCATAACAAAGAAACAGAATTTCCGGAGGATGAGGCCCAGAAATCAGGATTTTAAAAAGATTCCCAGGTGATTCTAATGCGCAGCCAAGGTTGAGAACCACTGCTCTAGTAACAGCTCTCTCTTTACCTCTCACCTGGACCACTGCTGTCTCCTTGGTGGCTACTCTTCCCTATTCCAATTTATTCTACTAAGTGCAAGCAGATGGACAGTTTTAAAAAGCAGCTCCACTTACTATGCTCAGCCCTTATCATGGTTCCTTAGTGCCACCACATACTATGAAAATATCCAAAACCCTCCATGATGGGACCTAACCTGTAGTTCTGTTCTTACTCCCATTAGTCTTGCTCATATAGAAACCTCCATTTCTGGGCATACTATGACCCCTCATGGATATCATATGTGGCCAGGTGACCAGGAATGGGCTTTGAAAAGCCAGAAAACCAAAATTAGCAAAGCAGTTAGTATTTATTCATTAATTCTTAAAATATCCTATTGAGATAAGCGGTAAATGTCTGGTTCCCCACTTTATGGAAAGGGAAGCTGAGTCATAAAATGCATTATTTGGCACTCTCCCTCTCCCCAATATCATAACACTGAAATACAACTTGTTGGAGAATCAGAATTAAAATTCAAAATGATTAGTTATATCAATTATTAGTGGATCTCAACCAGAATTCAAAGTTAATCATTCTATCAAATAATTCCTCTATTCTGTTCTTCCCTTTCTTCCTCTGAAAAATAAGAAGGATAGAATGCAGATTCGAACATTTTGGTGCCGGGTGTTGTGCAAACAGAAAGCAATTTCTATATCCCTTTACTCTAATTAGGTCATATTTGAGATTTTCATTACTTTAATATTTAAATAAAGATTTAGGCAACAGTCATCCCCACCATGAAGGGGAGCTAGGCTGCATTTAACAGATACAGGTTAACTGGCATATTTTACTAAGAGAATTGAGTAAGAGAGTAATATAGTCAAGTGAGACTTAAAGTTGAGAAATTACAGATAATTGTGAAGATTCCAAGAGCAAACCTCCATATAGTTAATTTTTAAAGTCCCTGTTTCATAGCTTATATACTAAAATCATGCATGGAAGTTGAACTAGATTTTCTTTCCAATGCTCAGATCAACTTGGAGAATGGTCGTTAGCATCTGACTTTATTGTTGTTGGCTGGATGAGTTTGACATCATTTCCTCAGTGGACATCTTGACTTGGGGAAAATGAGGGGGAAGCTGGCCTGGTCACACACCTAGAAAAGGCTGGGAAAGCATTTTCTCGTGCACACACTTGCTCCATATCCCAGGGCCTTGGTGTGCACAGACAATGATGAAGTGATTCATAGTTTGACTGCCTGTGAGTCATTCTGGAAGCTCAATGAAAGTGCTGAGATGCAGCAGGAAAGCACAGTGTAGTGTGGCCCGGCTCACTGTTCTCAGGCAGGCAATAAACAGTGAAAATGGAAAAAGAAATAATCACAAATTTTGGAAATACTCTTACTTAGTACTTCAATTTCATAAAGACAACAAAGTAGGTAGGGATCCTCATTCCTTAGTTTTCTCCCCTCTCAAAGGCAAGCTAACTGTGCAAAATGTCCGACAACCCAAGAAATCAGTTTCTTACCAGGACTCTGTGAGCCCCCAAAGCAGCGAAGGCGTATCCCTCTCTTGAGGAAATAGGCTGTGATTTGAAAGCCATAACCTGTAAAGTGAAAGAGGACGTCATTAGGTTAGAAGCTTGTTTGCACTGAGTCCCCTGGGCCAAGTCCAGTGCCTGCCATCCAGTATGTATTCAAAAATTATTTAGCAAATGAAAGAGTACAAGAATCAACAAAGAACCTCACTTGAGAGAAAGGAGTGAACATTACAATCTTGGCTTTCTAGGAGGCCTGTCCATAGCACCTGGGATGGTCCCTAGTCCCTGAAGTGGCTCAGTCACTTCATCTGTAAAATGGAATAAACAAGGAGGTCTGACACAGAGGCCTAAAAGCCAGGCCCTTCACATGGGGTCATTAATTCAGGCTGAGTTAGTACATAGATCTTGGCCACCTTCTGAAACTCATTATTTATGAGCTCACAAAAACAATCATTTAATACCTATTTGAAAATGTGTATATTTGGCTGTAAATAAGTTATTCTAAATCAAGTACAGCAAAGCATTTATATACTAGTAGAATGAGATGAAAAAAATGTGAGCCAAAAAAAAAGAGGAAATTCTTTAATTCATCAGAATTACCTAAATGAAAAAGACTAAGAGCATCAAGTACAGGCAAGAATATGGGCAAACTAGATTTCACATACCCTGTTGAAAGAAGTACAAATTGGTACAGCCACTTTCAAAATCTGCTTGAATATCTTCAGCAGAACTTAAGCATGCATATACAGGTGTTCATAATAACACTTTTTATAATAGTTTCAATCTGGAACCAATGCGCATATCCATCAATAGAAGTTTTTAGTAAAAAAGAAAGGGGAGGGGGAGATAAGCACACAGTGAAATACTACACTGTCCCTAAAAATTAATGAGCTACAAATACAGGCCATATCAGAAATAAATCCCACAAGCATAATGTTAAGTGAAAGAAGCCTGGTCCAAAGGAGTTCATCCCATCTATGAAGATGGAGATATTGCCCTTTTTCTTATAGGGTGGCAACAGAATTTCAGGTGATGCACACACAGAAAATACAAGCAGATTCCTTCCTTCCCTCCCTCCCTCCCTCCCTCCTTCCCTCCCTTTCCCCCATCCCTCACTCCCCTGCCAGCCCCCCTCCAGTTATAAGCTACTCTGTTCGATGACTTTACTGAAATTAAATAAAAATGTTCCCGTTCACATGGTGGAATACTTGGCAGAAGAACCAGAAATGAAAGGCCTGCCAAAGAGGGGTAAGAGGCCTCAAGTTCTAAAACAATCTCAGAGACAGCATTTTATCCACAAAATTGGAGAAGCCAGGAGTTGCAAGAGGTAGTCTCTAAGACCATCAACTTCTCCAAAGTCCATCACTCTGAATATGTTGAAATAACTTGTATATAATAAAGAACACAAAGAAGTTTCCACTTTTATATTTGGTAGCCTTCTAGCACTCCTGCAGAAAGATCCAGAACACCAGCGACCACAGACTTGATGTTCTGTCTACGTAAGTAAGGTTCTGACAGCACAATTGCTTTAGTCGCAGGGATTGCAAAATAGTAGTGACATCTATGATAGGATAATCTTCAAATTAACTGAGATGAATTTTTTCCTAACACACTTCAAGCAGATTACATTTTGATCACGTTTCCTCTGCTTAACCTGCCAAAATATGCAAACCGTTGGCATTATTTTGAGTGCTTCTAAACAAATACCTCATTCCTCAGGTCACTGAGAAAGTGGAAGTGACCACCACATCTGTTTATTTGTCCTACTACTGAGGGGAGGAATACTGCAGGAGAGAAGCCCTTTGCAATTTGGGATTCACACATACAGAAAACCTTAAAGTGATTTAAAACATAGTGATCTAGTCCTGGCCAGGTAACTCAGTTTGTTGGAGTGTTGTCCTGTACACCAGAAGGCTGCAGGCTTGATTTCCAGTCAGGGCACATACCCAGGTTGCAGCTTTAATCCCCAGTCAGGGCGCATAAGGGAGGTGGCTGGTTGATGTTTCTCTCTCCATGTCTGTCTGACTCACTCTCTCTCTCTCTCTCCCCCCTCCCTCTCGCTCTAAAAATCAATGAACATGTCCTCAGATAATAATAATAATAATAATAATAATAATAATAATAATCTATTATGTGAATCTTCCAAAGAACTGAATAAAAAACAAACAAGCAAGCAAACACACAATACCATGCACCCCTATGTTCATAGCAGCACAATTTACAATAGCTAAGACTTGGAAACAGTCTAAGTGCGCATCAGCAGATGAGTGGATTAAAAAACTGTAGTACATCTACACAATGGAATACTATGCTGCTGTAAAAAAGAAAGAACTCTTACCATTCGCAACAGCATAGATGGACATGGAGAGCATTATGCTAAGCAAAATAAGCCAGTCAGAGAAATATAAATACCACATGATCTCACTCGTATGTGGAATATACTGAACAATATAAACTGATGAAAAAAAATAGATCTGGAAACATAGATGCGTTGAACAGACTATCAAATCTCAGAGGGGAGGCAAGGGAGAGAGAGGGAGGGTAAGAGATCAACCAAAGGACTTTATGCATGCATATAAGCATAACCAATGGACACAGACACTAGGGGGGTAAGGGCATGTGCTTGGGGGAGGCAGTGGCTGGGAAGAGGTCAATGGGGGGAAAAGGAGACATATGTAATAGTTTAAACAAGAAAAAATTAAAAATGAATAAATTAATAAAAGTAACCTGTTGAAGTGTGTGTATATATGTATGTATATGTGTATATGTGTGCATGTATGTGTATGTATATATGTATATATATGTATGTATGTATGTGTGTGTGTGTGTGTATATATATATATATATATATATATATATATATATATATATATGAAAAGCAATACCTAAGTCATTCTGCCTTTGTTGGCAGGTCATACTTAATGCTTATAGTTCTCAGTGATTAAGATTTAGATGACATGTTTGAAATTTAAAAAATATTCTCTGTACAAAATCTCTAGCAATAAATATTATTATTAGGAAGAGGCTAAATTTAAAGGTGGCTATAAAAGCTACAGCTCTGAGTTCAGGAAGCCTGGTATCTGGAGATACCTCTTGAGTGATAACTAAATCTTACTTGGTCAGCTGAACAATAAAGTTCCAACATGACACCTTCCCTATAGAACAATAAAGCAGTATAAGGCAAATTCGAACTAAGTGATTTATTACTGGAATTACTAGCAAAACTGAATTTATGAAAACCCTTTCCCCTATACTCCCCTCCCTCAGGATAGGATTATTTTAAAAGGAATCATTCCTAAACTGGCCTCTTGGTTTGGGTTCCATGGAAAACGCTGCCTAGTGGTTCCTACAAGAGAAATGGCAAGTTTAACATGTAAAATAATTTTTGCACTGGCTTACTCCAAATTCCCATGGCCATAGGAAAGTGTACTGTTTAAAGAGAAACTTAAAGAGAGATTAAACACAATAGGTCCTTGTGCCAGTTCTTATGGCAAATAAATCTATATATATAAAAGCCTAAGTGACTGTTATGACTTAACAGAACGACCAGTCAACCAGTCGCTGTGACGCGCACTGACCACCAGAGGGCAGACGCGCAACACAGCACCTTCCCCCTGATGGTCAGTGCGCTCTCACAGTCAACCTCCCGTGGCCCCTCTCCCTGGCTGGCTGGCCCCCATCGGCCCCTGGTGCTAAACCATTCATAGGCTACCTGCTTTTGGGTCAGCCCTAAACACAAGGGTTTGTATCGCTCCTGTCCTCTCCCTTCCCTGGGATGGCGGCGGCGAGGGGGGTTGGTGGAGAAACATGCAGTGGCAGGGCATGCAGCATCCGTTCCTTCCATGCCACCCGGCGTCATCTCCTCTCCCAATCCCGCCAGGGCCTTCAGGCCCAGGCTGGGGTGGGGAACCAGGGGTGGGTGGCGGCAGATGCGGCCCCTTTCTCAGGGGGGCCGAGGGCCAGCTCCCTCCTCAGGGTTGGAGGCCAACCTCCTGCGGCCCCTCCCCCAGCTGGCCAACCTCCCATAGTCCCCCCTCCCCACCACCACTGTACACGAATTCATGCACCGGACCTCTTGTTTTGATATAAAAACAAAGATAAATCACTGCTGTTGAACCAGACTGAAATGGAATCCTCAGGGAGATGTACTGCATTTATCCATAGATAATAGGCAGTGATAGTGTCGATAATCTTACCTTTGCTCTTTAATAAAAGCAACAGCACAGAGTTCAGTAGGCCACTGAGATTTTGTTCTGACCCAGGGCTGAAGCAAAGTTCCACTATTTTTTAAAGCTAAATAGCAACTTGGCAAAGAATCCAGGAGGCCCTTTGCTTTCCTTCTAGGAGCACCAGCTCCTAGCTTTCTATATTGGTATTCTAAAGGCACAGATCTCCTGTTAGTAGGAGATTGTGAGGCTGGTATGATGGGCGGGGGATGGAGCAAAATGAAAATAAAAAATGATAGACTTTTCATTTGAAAACACCTTGATAATGGTATTCCAAGATTTTAAGGCACTTGTAAATCATATTTAAGTACACCTGCTTTCTTGCTAGTTATTGTGGTCCTCCTAAATCTGAAAAGACTGCCTTTAGACACAGAAGAGATTGGGGTTAGAGGGAGGACAGCTTTGCTGTGGAAGATTTCCTCCAGGAATATTCAGGTCTATGTATTTCTAGAAAGAATTTATATTCCTGCACTGCTAATGTCACAAGACGTCCAGTACAAGCAAGAGTCCATCCTCTCCCCTGCCTCTAAGCAGCCCCCAAAGTCCCTATGCCTCCTGTATTCCATGATTTGTAACAAGCTGCTTCTCTCTACCTTTCTACAATCTCCCAGCCCACCAAGAAGCCCAAAAGAACCTGTTACCACATTAACTTTCTTTTTTTTTCTTTTAATAAATTAAAATTTTATTGGCAGTATCTTTTTGTTGTTGTTGTTAATCCTCACCCGAGGATATGTTTCCGTTAATCTTTTAGAGAGAGTGGAAGAGAGAGAGAAAGACAGAGAGAAACATTTATGTGAGAGAACCACATCTATTGGCTGCCTCCTCCACGAGACCTGACCA